AAGTATATTCATATTGTTGTGTAGCCAACCTCTGGAACTTTATCTTGCAAAACTGAAATTTCGTATCCATTAAACAGTAGCTCCCCTCTTTTCCTTTCTCCAGCCCCCGGCAACCACCATTCTTTCTGTTTCCATGAGTTTGACTATTCTTGATGTTTCATATAAGTGAAATCAGACAGTATTTCTCTTTTTGTGACTGGTTTACTTCACTTAACATAATATTAAGTTTTGAATCTATTCACTTTTTAAAACTCAGTTCATACATCATCTCTTCTATTAGGTGTTCTGTGTCTTCCCTTTGCTTCATCCTCCTCCCAGTTTGACTTAGATAACCCTTCTCTATATTCTTTTCATCTCTCTATCTTAGTACTTTATTATGCTATACTATAATTGTTAATACACTGGCAGAGTTTCCTTTAATCCCGTATACATCTTGTTGGCAGTGATTTTGATTTTTTCACAATTGTTAACTCTAACTTTCTATCAAGGAATTGTTTGATACATGTATTAACTTAGGTTCAGCTCTGTGTAATAGAAAAAAAAATTATGGCTTAAAAGTTTACTTCTATATTTCAGTAAAGACAGTGCTAGAAGTAGGCAGCAGAGGATTGATATCCAGGATGTTATAGTGGTTTCAGTTTCGTGAAGACCCACTTTCCCAAAATTCTGTATCCTCAGACCATGAGTTTTTATCTTCACAGTCATCTCATGATTCCAGATAATGCTGAAGTTCCAGCCATTGTTTTAGGCCAGTAATCTGAGAAATCAAGAAGGACCTTCTCTCCTACTGAATTATTTTTATTTCAAAGAGGTTCAGGTTCACATAGCTTTTTGTGTGTGTGTGTGTGTGATGGGTAAGGGGATTGTAACCCTTGGCTTGGTGTCGCCCGCACTGCGCTCAGCCAGTGAGCACACTGGCCATCCCTATATAGGATCCGAACCCGCGGCCTCGGCACTCCCAGCGCCCTTGTGCTCCCAGCGCCACACTCTCCTTGGTGAGCCACGAGGTTGGCCCTCACGTAGCTTTTTGACTGAAATGTTTGACTGAAATCCCATTGGCTACAACCACAAAAGGTACATCTAGCTGCAAGAAAAAATGAGAAATAAGTAAGTTTTAGTTTTTAAGCATTACCATGTCCCATAAGATCAAAAGTTTTTACTCAGGGAGAAGGGGAGGATGCATGTTGGATAGCCATTGGCAGTCTCCCATGATGCTTGATAAATATTTGTTGTGTACAGATACGAATGAGTGCTTTGAATGCAAAGGGACTGAGAAAAAGTAAGGGCTGATAGGCATACATATATTGAGTACTAGGGAGAAAGAAGCTTGGAGTATATTTCACATCTTACATTCAGAAGATCAACTTCTCAAAAGGCAGTGGGAATGAATCTTAACAATGAGAGTGAGGTTGATCTCTGCAGGATTAGTGTTTCATAGCTTCCCAGATTTTGTATCCGTATATGAATGAACAGAACTTTTTATATTGTTGAGTATTTTTACCAGTCATGGAACAAATTATAAATTTAACTCAAGTCAGTTGCTCAGTTTTTTCATTTTTTTGTCAGTTTTCAGTTATTTATTTAGAATTTAACTCTTTTTCTCTTAAAGAACTTTTCATTTCCACCTAGATTTAACATTTCTGAGGGGCTAAGTAGAGTGTATATATTGAAAGTTAGGGTGCAATTTTATACTTTTGAGGAGGTTATATATTAAATCTTTAATTTCTTTCTATTCTTGAATAGCTAGTTTCTCTGATGGTACCATTTGTTTTTTTTTTTAACTTTTATAATAATGAATTATTTGAAAAAATAAATACTTCCGACTTTTGTTGAAAAGTTAAACATCTCTTGTTGAAAGTTAACATCTTTTAAGTTTAGAGACATTTATGTGAACAACAAAGAACTTATATAAGTTAAAAATATTCTGTATAGGTACTTGCATACATGTTCATGTGTATGTGAATACAGGGTGAGTTATTTGTCTAAAGGTTTTATGAATTCATTTTATCATTATGAAATTAATATGATAATTTTAAAACTGTATTTCATTCAGTGAATGTTTTCCTATCACACAATGTAAAGAACAGATTCTAGTTGGGGCAAAGGAAGTACTTAGGAGGCTATTCGCAATTTTCTAAATGAGGGATTATGATTGGACTAGGGTTGTAGCAGACAGGACAGTGAAAAGTGGTCCCACTCTCTATATATTTAAAAAAAATAAATTATTCTTAAACTGTTGCTATTTTATTTTTGGCTTTTGCCAAAATATTTCTTCAGTCTGCTGTATTAAGTTATATTTGGGGTGAACAATGTTATGAGATCTTTGTGAAGTCAAGATCACCTTTCTATAAACTTTTTTTGGCCTAATTAAGACACAGAAATTAGCTCACTCATTATTTAAACAGAGATGTCTGAACTGATAACAAAGACTTTGTGTTGGTAGGTCTTGAGATAAATTTAAACAACATAAGATAATTTTGTAGTTATGCATACATTTAATTAAATGTTTTCATCAGTATTATTTTAAAAATTAAACAAATGAGCTAAAATTTTATACTTATTTCTTACATATAGGACTTCTTTGATGCTGCCAAAAGCAACCAGTCCTTGTTTTCTAAAATAAATGAAGAAAAAATAGTTTTTTTCTTACATTTGTTAGGAATAGATACAAATGGACATGCTCATCGACCAGCATCAAGGTAATTTTAATGCTATGTTTCATTCAATTTTGTTTTTAGGGAAACATCTGTTCATTTGAACTTTTAAAGTATTATGTTTTGTTTGT